TGATGTGCAAAGAAATTGAGTGGCATAACCAAGTTCATAGAGCAGGTGATCTTGGACTGGCAACCAAGACAAGAATCTCAAACTCTGGACTTTTATCCAGACCAGTTGCTTCTCCAACCACAGCCCCATCTAACTCCACTGCCAGCGCCTTAAGAGTGCTGGTGTCTTGGGCTGCAGCCCCTGTCTTCAGGCGTAGTAGCCCCTACACTCCTCAGAAGGTCCAGACCCAGTGGAGGGAGCCCAGCAAAGCTACCAAACCCTACTCTGCAGGAGACAAGATCTTCATCTGCCCAAGATGGCCTGGCCTAGGAAATCTTCCCACTGATCAAATCATCCCCTCCACTGTACCTTTCTCTTCCCTAGAGCCAATACCCAGGCTTTATCTCAGGAAATGTCCGGGACCCAGGGCCGCTGAGATAGTTCTCAGAACACAATAGCAAAGCACATTTTTTTCACAGGGAAGAAAGGGAGGAGGAGAAAGTTCATAGTGATCACCAAGTTGGTTCTGAAAATGAGCCTTTATCTGCTCTGGCCCAGCTCTAGACCCATGGGTTAGTGTCAACCTCACAGCTAGCTCATCAGGTAGCTGTTTAAAGTCCAAAGCTAGGTGAGAGAGTTCACTATCCAGAGGTAAAGATGCATAAATATAAAAAACAATGAGAGACTTGTCTGTCAGCCACCAGGCCACTACACCCCAGGGAAAAGCCAGTGACAAGCAGGCTTGGTGGCAAGCATCTATATGATCTTTTATATAAGAGCAGAAAGATCAAGAGTTTGAGTCCAGCCTGGATTATATGGTAAGACCTGTCTCAGTCTGGAGAGACAGCTCAGCAGTTAAGAGCACATACTACTCTTGCAGAAGACCAGAGTTCAGTTCCCAGCACCTACACTGCATGATTCACAACTGCCTATAACTCCAGCTCCAGGAGATCCAATGCCTTCTTCTGGCTTCCAGAGATACCTGCATTTACACGTGCAAACCTACACACATACATACACATAATGAAAAATAAAATAAATCTTTTTAAAAAATTAAAATAGGCACTAAACTACTGGAAACTGGAAGCACGTCACCAAGCCCCTAGCATGGAGGGCGTCACTGAACTTTGGTCAAGGAAAAAGTGTCTGTGTGGCATCTTCCTTTCAGGAAACACAATGCAGTGAGCAGGATACTATGATGGTTATAAGATCCCAATAATCATTCTAAGCAGTGGGGGGGGGAAGAGAGAAGAGAAGAGAAGAGAAGAGAAGAGAAGAGAAGAGAAGAGAAGAGAAGGGGGAGGGAAGGAGGGAGGGAGGGAGGGAGAGAAGGAAGGAGATGATGGGAAAGTAGGTAGATAGACAACAGACAGAATCAAATGAAGTCCCAAGAAACCTATAGTTAAATTACACCTGAATTATTTGACTCTATCTGCCACTTCTGAGTGAAGGACTGCCAATGGCCCTGGGATCCAATGCTTATGAAAGAATCCAAGAAGAACAACAGTCTCAAGCAACCTCAGGAAGCCAGCATCCCTCACCTCCAGGTACTAGAGGACTAATTAGGCTGAGTTAAGTGACCAGAAGTACTGTGTAAAAAGAGCGATTAAAGCCGGGCGTGATGGTGCATGCCTTTAATCTCAGCACTCAGGAGGCAGAGGCAGGTGGATATCTGTGAGTTCAAGGCCAGCCTGGTCTACATAGCAAGTTCAGACCAGCTGGAGCTACAGGGAGACCTTGTCTCAAAAATACCAAAAAAAAAAAAAACTATGCGAGATGTGAGATATGAATTCACACAATTAGCAATCATACTTCACATTTACCTAAGAATTTGTGGCATAGTTCTCTGAGCAGACAACTCCTTTTAGCATATTCTCATTCTTTGGGGCTCATTAAAACTTAGTTAAGTTTGAAACATTAAAGAAATATGTGAAGGAGATGGAAAGAATGTGCTTGTTCTGTCACACTGAGCCATCAGCATTTTAATAGCTCTCTGAAGATACATTTTAATTTCTCAGACTCAAAATACTTGTTTCTAGCAATTCTAAAGCTTTGGGTGAGTTTCAAGAACCCAGGTGGACAATGTGATACTGATGATGTTCATCCATATATGTAGCAGGTTATAAAATATCCTCGTGGCACATCTTTTATGAAAGCGATTTGCATTTTTCATTGGAAACGTTGCTGATGTATACTCTTCTCATCACTGTAGCCAAATGCTTGACAGAAGCAGCTTAAGGAAGGAGAGGTTCATTTGGGCATACAATTTCAGAGTCATTGTGGTGGGGAAGGCTTGGTAGCTGTAAGAACTCAGTCCATGGGAGTGGGCGCTTGGGGCATGGTTGTTCGTATCTTGACAAATCAGGAAGCAGAGATTCCTGACCAGAACCAGAGACGGATACCATTTTCAGGGCCTATCCCCAGTGATCTAACTCTGCTAGCTAGGCCACAGTCTCAAAGATTCCAAAACCTCCTAAACAGCACTGCTCATTGGGGTCCAGGTGTTCAAACACATGAGCCTGTAGGGGTATAGTTCACATTCATAACACCTGGGAAGCAAGTAGGAGTTGTTTCTCATTATGGAGATACAGTGCTTACTGGCTTGCTCCTCTGGCCAGTGCTCAGCTTGCTTTTTTATACAAGCCTGGACAACCTGCCCAGGGATGACACCATCCATAGTGGGCTTGGGCCCTCCCACATCACTCAACAGTCAAGAAAATTCTCCACAGACATGGCTACAGACCAATGGGGGAAATTACTCAACTGAAGTTCCCTTCACCTAGGTGTGTCAAACTGACAACTGAAGTTATCCAGCACAACTTACTAGAACACTAGATGTTCTTGCAGTGTGTCAGATCTTTCTAATGGGTAAGAATTATTGAGACGAGACCCCTCCTCTTATATATAGATGGAGACCATGTCCCTGTGTCTCTGTCTCTGTCTCTCTTTCTCTGTCTCTCTGTCTGTCTCTCTCTCTCTCTCTCTCTCTCTCTCTCTCACACACACACACACACACACACACAAGCAAGACAGTAACATTTGGTTGTGATTAATTAGTCAAGCAGATGCAACACAAATCAGCTAAGCTTTCAAGCACGAAGGCACAACACAATGGAGTGGCTTTCCTTGGTCTCTGGCTCACTGATGGTACACAGACAACCTTAGGTACTGTTTATTCTGTTTCAGTCCAATCTTAGACACCTCCCTCTGGCTGTCTCCCTTCAGGTGACTCATTTAAATTCTGAGCCTTAACTAAATTTCGTAAAGAAATTGACCATTCCCTCATTTGAAAACTTCTCCGATTTTCCTTTTCCCAAATTGGGCATCTGTGGGCAGAATTTGATGTCCCTGTTCCCTCGGGAGTACAGACTTGCTGTCTCCAGTGGCATAGTGTACAGTGAAGGACTGGGACTGTGTGTGCTCGGCTGCAAGAAAGACCACAGTCCTGTCTTCCAGTTCACCCTTTGAGAAAATAATCAGCCTTTTCGTGCTCGTTTGTTTAAAGTATATTAGAAATGAATCACTCTGAGGAAGTACCCATGAACAGGAATGGTACAGGCTTAAAACATCCATCAGTTTGTTTGAGCTGACCACTTGTGATTCTGTATGGAAATGATTTCATAGGAAGGATTTGATCTTTCATATCTGGACCTAAATGTTTCCTTTCAGAAATTTTTCATTAAAAACAGAAAAGAAGAGCATCATTGGGGTTAGTTTTGCTTGCACTGGTTTCATTTCTATTTTTAATCATTTTGAAGTCGTCATTGGCATGTTTTAGATAAGCCATGGCAGAATGAGATGAAGACCGAGACATGAACAGGTGTACATTTGAACAGGACGTGAACAGGTGTACATTTGAATTGCACCAATAATGTTGAGGGTTTTGCTTACATTATGGTAGGGAAATGATTCCGTTCTGTTTGTCTATCAACTTTCTACCTCAGTGTTATTTTGCAACTCATTAGAAAACCTCTCCAGAGTTGAATTTACCCATGGCATACTTCCTGATGTTTGGCCAGAGCAACACAAACATTTCCATGTTTGGACAAGTTCAACTTTTCAATATTAAAGCTCTAACAAGTTCTCCCTTGAAATTATGAGTAACTGCCCTTAAGCTTAGTCAGAGGGATTCCAAAGTAATATAATCCTGAGCTGGAAAGTACTTGTTTTTTATTTCATCAATCGATGGCAGATAGGAAAAGAGACAAAACTGAACAAATTCAGTCATGTTTGAACCCCTTGTTTATGTGACACCACCAAACTACCAAAAAATTTTCGTGTCCGTAGTAAAAGACTTTTAGAAGAATTCAAAGACCAAGGAAGAAATGATGTTTTTTGTTTTCACACTGACTACAATTAATAAATATTAATAATATGTTTTCCCATCCATGATGTTTTGGTAGAGCTAAGGTCACAAGTTCCTTAGATGTAAATATTCTGAATTTATAATATAATGGATTTTATGGAAAAGACCAAAAGTAAAACTAAAACTCTTCCCATAAATAATAGTGTCTTGAACCCCCAGTTGTGCCTGACCCACTGTGAAATGAATGTGGATAAAGTGATGCAGTGATCATCGTGATGATGAAGTGAGTGGAGATGAGGGTGGTTCTGGTGATATTTAGATACACACTGAGTGCTTGTCTAGGTTCAAAGCATTATTTCAAGAATATTACATGAATTAACTTGTGAAATCCTGTCACATATTATGTTATTCCCATTTCATAGATGAGGACTCAGAGCCTGAGAGAGGTTAAGTAACTTGTTTACAACCAGATAAATAAAACAAAAATGCATGTCAGTCTGCTGCTAAATAAACAGTTGTCATATTTTATTTATTCTGGGCACTGGAGTTGCTTTGAGATGCATTAGTATTCCATATTAAATCATAACTTTCTACAGAAGTTCTTCATATGTTTCCTCTTTGTAACCTGCATTTCTATAGCAGTCTAGGCCATGTTTTATCATGTTAGAGTCACTTTACATAGTCCTTTCAGTACTGTGAGTATTTGATACGAATTAGTGGGATGGGCACTTTCATATTTAAACTCTCCAAAAATATTGTAAAACACCTCTATAACACCTTACATTGGTTCCTATTAATTATATTTGCATATGCATTCTACAGAATTTATATAACCTTGTGCTAACATGGCAAAATACATTCCCCAAACTACAGGGTATGTTTAAAATACACATTGATCACTCTGGTATGACCATAATTTTCCTATCATTATAAATTTGTTATAAATTTGGATAATATGTCTACCTACAGAGTCCCACAGTTACAATATCAATATTGTAAATCTGAGAACTATCACACACCTCAATGCACAGGGAATTATTCTCACAAGATTTGTCACTTTTTAGGAGAATGACTCGCTGGGGGGAGTTTGATGATCTTTATCATATTAGTGAGCTGGACAGAACCCAAATCCCAGTGTCCGAAGGAAGGAATTCCCAGGAAGGTCAGTATCAAAGCCTTATTAATGTGGAGATTTTTTTTAAATCAACACGAACATGACTTTTGAATGTTTTCCTCTTACACAGCACTAGTAAGCATAGTAGCCTAGTCACTACATTGCTCATGTGATGGTTGGAGCCTTACTTTGCTGTATAAAACTGCATCAACTTTTTTAAAGTCTGCATATAGTCACCTAACTTTATTCGAATGGGTAAGCCAAATGATTTGAATGAAGTTTTTATCCATAAAATTGTTCAAGACTTTTCCCATAGATTAGATACTTATTTGGTTTTTGTTTGTTTGTTTGTTCTGGGGTTTTTTTTGGGGGGTGGGGGGTTGTTTTGTTTTGTTTTTTGTCTTTTTGAGACAGGGTCTCCCTGTAGCCCCAGCTGGTCTGGAACTATGTAGACCAGGCTGGTCTTTGAACTCACAGAGATCTGCCTGCCTCTGCCTCTCAAGTACAGTACTGGGACTAAAGGTGTGTGCCACCATGCCCAGCTTTGGATTAGATATTTATTATTCTCATTAGCTACAGGTATTAGGCAAGCCCATTACAACTAATCCCATAGCATTTTAGAAGATGCGCGATTTCATTAGTTGATACATAGTTAAATATGTATGCCTTAGAAAGAGGCAACTATACTGCAGTTGTTTTTATTTTGACAGTTATTCTAAATGTGTGTGTATATGTCTTGGTGTGGTTGCACAGACATGGGTGCGCCATGAGTGCAAATGGAGGAAAGAGGTCAAAGTCAGCTATTTTCTTAACTGCTTTCCACATTATTTTTTAGAGGGTTTCTCAATTAACCTATAGCTGTCCTATAGCTGGGCTGCCTGGCTAGTGAGCGCTGACTAGTGAGTGCTAGGGTTCCTCCTGCCTCCACCTTATCTGCACTGAAACTAAAGACCCATACCAACACTTAAGGGCTTTTTTTAAACATGGGGGTGGGTGCCGAGGATCCTCATACTTACAAAGAAGGCATTTTGCCAACCCCCTCTAATTTTTTAGAAGAGAAATCTACCGAAACATAAAAAGGTCTCCTGTCAAACCTGACAATCCAGTGAAAAAGGTCAGCTCCTGTGTTGTCCTAGTTTGTTTCTCCATTGCTGTGACAAAACACTCTGACCACTACCAACTTGGGGAGGAAAGGGTTTATTCAGCTTACATCTCCCAGGTTGTAGTTCATCAGGGAGCCCAAGGTAGAAACTCAGGGCAGGGACTTGGAGGCAGGAGCTGGAGCACAGGCCATGGAGGAACGCTGCTTACTGGCTTGCTCCTCTGGTCCCTGTTCAGCTTGCTTTCTTATGCAACACAGGCCCACCTGCCCAGGGGTGGCACCACCCACAGTGGCCTGGGCCCTCCCACATCACTCATCAAGAAGATGCCCTTCAGACATGGCCACAGGCCAGTCCAATAGAGGCAATTCCCCGATTGAGTCTCCCTCAACCCAGGTGTTGACACTAGTGTTGACACTAAAGCTATATAGGACACGTGTCATGGGACATTCGCTTATTGTAATAAGGATGATGTGAAAATAATAGCAGTAGTGATAGTGACATTGGTAGCAGCAATTTACGAAGACTGTCGAGTGCCAGGCATGACATCTTGTATTATGTAGAGAGATCCAAGAAGTAGTTAATGACTAAAACTAGGAAACAGAGTGGTAAGCTTCATGTTCTTGGGCTGAGGCCATGATATTGCCAAGCCGGGTTCAGACTACCAGCATTAACTTCAACATTTACTAACAGTGCCTAGTGTTTAGTTTCTATTTTTAGTTTAAACCATTCTCTGCTTCCTCTGCTCTCTATCTCCATAAGCTCCTGGGATGGAGAGATGACTAGCAGTTACGAGCACTGGCTGCTCTTGCTGAAGACTCAGGTTCAGCTCTCAGCACCCACATGGCAGCTAACAACCATCTCTAACTCCAGTTCTAGGGAATCCGATGCCCTTTTCTGACCTCTGCAGGTATTACATGACATGGGTGCATTTACATGCATGCAGGCAATACACTCATACACATAAAATTTTAAAATTAACAAAATATTTAGAAAAGGCTTAACAGCACTTGGGAGATGGAGGCAGGAGAATGGAGTTCAAGGTTCATAGTGAGATTGAGGTCAGCTTAAGCTACATGAGATGCTGTCTCAAAAATAAAAAATAAGTAAATAAACACTTGGAATGTTCTGAGGCACTAGCCCAAAGCTCTGCATACCATAGGAATGACTTCTCAAGTGTTTCGGTAGTTTTATAGGTAAACTAAGGCCCAAAGTCCATTTGCTTAGGAAAGTCTAATAAGCTTGGAATCAAGACAAAATAGAGATCCGGTGCTGTTTCCATTGCTTAGAAGCACTGTGCTCATGTAAAACCCACTTCAGCCTACCATGTTTTTAAATTTTATTTATGTTTTATGTGTGTGTATGAGTGTTTACTTCCATGTGTATAAGTGTACCATATGTGGGCAATGCTCACAGAGACCAGAAAGGGGCAGTAGATTCCTTGGAACTGGAGTTACAGATGGTTGTCAGCCACCATGTGGGTCCTGGAAACCGAACCTGGGTTCTCTTCAAGAGCTGCCAGTGCTTTTAACCACTGAGCTATCTCTCTAGCCCCTCACCGTATTTTTAATCTTACCTGTATGAGACCAGATTGATAGCCAGATTTTTCCCACCTCTTACATGCTGAAATTCTGTATAATTTACCCTCCCCCAAAAAAAAAGATTGAAAAAATGCAAACCCCAAACGTGATCACTTTGATCGTTAAACATAATTCAGTGGCAGAATTTGCTGTCTGACCAATCCTAGACAGCATCTAATAAGTAAATATATAGCCCAGCAGTATGCTATAATGCATGTAAATTGCCAGGAAAGAACAGTATGCCTAACGTTAATCAAAGCATACCAGTCTCCCTAAGATGCAAGAAGATAGGCAGCTAAATGATATGGGCTTGTGATCTTTATTCTTCCCAGACTATTTATCTTATCACAGCAGCACTCTGAAGCCGTACGCAGAGGAAGAGCCAGAATCCCCATTGCTCTACAGAACCATGAGTGAAGCAGCTCTGGTGAGGAAAAGGATGAAGGCTCCAGTGATGGACAGAAAAGACAGGCAGAGCCATAGGGCCTCCATTAACGGACACTTCTACAACCATGAGGTGAGCTACGATTCCATGAATGTGAAATAGCGTTTCTACTCACTAACGATAGCATTTCATTCCACTTATAGATTTAAGACAGTATCAGCAATGGCAGTAGATATCTCACACTCATTGATCACTTCCTATGTGCTAACTAGTAAGCTAAATTTTAAATAGGTTCTTGTTTGTTTCTTTAGATTTTTTTTTTTAAATACAAATTTTCAGTATGTAACCTATGTTTACCAGGAATTTGCAGGCTGGCCTCAAACTCTCCATCCTCCTTCCTCCACTTCCCAAGGCCTGGAATTACAGACCCGTGCTATCATATCTAATTTTAAACAGATTTTTAATGTTATCTTATTAACCATTAAAACTATGCTCTGAGGTAGGTACCATTATTTTATCTTCTTTAGAGACATTGAGCAATTTCTCTTAGGTCACACTGCTTTTAATAATACTTCTAAACTTTAACCCACATTTGCTTTGCTCCAGAATTCAGGTTGTTAACCATTGTGAGAGGTGAACTCCTCCTACGTGCTGGGCAGAGAGACAAGCATTTGAAATATGCAGATGAGTCAGATGAGGTCTCTGCCAGCTTGGGGTGCAAAGCTTGGGCAGGTAAACCAACAAAACAAACCAAATAACAAGCCAGAATAACAGAAGGGTTCCAATTGAATATGGTTTAAAGGACACTGACATTTAAACTAAAGGAAAGTCACCTTCAGCCAGAACCTATGGATGTCACCAGATCAAACTTCCCATGTTGCATATTTCCATTCATATCCTACACTCATATGCAAAATGTTTATGCAAGTGTGGCTAGACTTTAGGTAAAATTTGCATTCTGATTTCCTTGCTAATATTTGTAAAATTTACACTTGCCTTTCTGTAATATTTAAAGGCAATTTGCTTTTGAAGATGTATCATCACACTTCCGGAATTGAAAGACTGCATGTTGTATATTTTATTAATTATTCATATAATCATTTGACAAATACTTAAGAAACACTTACATAGTGCCCAGCATGTTCTGAGTCCTGTAATGAGAAATGCTAACTTGTTTCTCTGTGGACTTTTTCCTATAGGGTTTTCTGCATCATGTCTTCTTTCCACCTTGGGAGGTATTAGTAGTATAATAATATAATTTGGAAATTCCTTCTTAGTTCTTTGTCCAAATTAGTTATTTTTAATTTTCAAGAATTATCCCTCTAGCTATATAAAGTAGCACTGACAGCCCCCACAGACCTGCAATCACCTGATTTGTTCCTCCCCTCAGAATTAGTCCACATGTTACCATCTTGTGTGTTCACTTGTGTTAAAGAGGGAAAGGCTGATATTTCTCTAAATGAGTGGCTTGAAGATGTATGTCACATGCTGAGAATGAATGTGGCCCTGTACTGTGGCTGTATGATGGAATCTGGTACCTGACAAAATTAAAAACTAAGACTCAGTCTCTCAGTCTTGTCCTCCCCTCAGAATTAGTCCACATGTTACCATCTTGTGTGTTCACTTGTGTTAAAGAGGGAAAGGCTGATATTTCTCTAAATGAGTGGCTTGAAGATGTATGTCACATGCTGAGAATGAATGTGGCCCTGCACTGTGGCTGTATGATGGAATCTGGTACCTGACAAAGTTAAAAACTAAGACTCAGTCTCTCAGTCTTAGTCCCTTCATGCTTTACAAGGTAGCTTGGGAATAAAGGAAACATGGGCCTAGCCCTGTGCACAGGACCTGACACAAAGGAAGAGCTGTGTTCATGGGAACTGTATTATTGATTGAATGAGCTCCATCTGATGGCAGGTCTTTTCTACAAATGTCATTCACTGCAGTTTAATGACTAGAAGAAAACAACAGAAACAAAAAAATAAATGAAAAGCAAAACCCAAAGCACTCTCGCAATGAGTGTGCAGTGATGGCCACCTAAGAACTTCGGTGATATGTTCTATAAGTTGGTGTGTGTTGCAAGATACATTCATCACTTACTGCCAATTTTGATACACTGTAGATTAGCAACCACATTGAAGGATTAGACTGATTTTTAGAGGTAAATTATGATGACTATGACTTGATTGGCAATGTTTTTCTATACATAAAGCAATAAATGATTGTTATATATGTGCATTTTATATATTTATATATGTGGATTATATACTTATAACATATATATGGATTATGGCATGGGTTCTATTGTGTATTTTGGCTAATACAAGAATGTGATTTTAATATACATCTCTGAAAACTGTGCTTCCAAATACATTACATATTAGGGCTCCAGAAAGGCTCCTGAGGGGCCTCTGACCCTTCTCTTGTATGTTAATATGAAATCATTGGGCACTCAAGATCTTAAGTGAGCTGATAAAGCTACAGTTAGTACATACTAGAACCTAGGTCTCCTGAATCCCAACCCAGTGGTATTGTGACTCTGTGAAGTGTCTTTACATACACAACATCCAACCACATATCCAACACCCTCACATCAGCTTGGTGCAGGATGAACATACCGTACTCCAGGCCGCCGTCAAGCACATAAGCTCTGTGCCTTAGGGTCACAGAGTGGCTCATTCACGCTGACAAAAAACTGAATCTTCTCATTCTTGCCAAAGTCTGGCCCAGGCATTCTCTATATGCCTTCACAGAAACTTACCTACATATTAAGGGTTTTTCTAACTTATATACAAACACAAAATATGTTTATTCACTGATCTCCCTGTTTAAGAGTTCATCTGTCTACATTCCCATGAGCTACCTCAAAACCTATTCATGTCTACGTCTGAACCCACCATATTTTTACCAAGTCTTGAGATACTTTGAGGTTGCACATATCAATGAATCTTAAGAAAACAAAGCTTTACTTAATACTCTTTCTATTTTTAAATATACATTTCATTCTTTCTTTCTGTCACCCAATGAATAAACCTTTTCCCCCTTTCATGCTCTGTGCACACAGTTGTTTCTCTCAGGATGAGTGTCCTGAGGTAGCACACACCATCCGTTACCTGCTTCAGAGTCTCCACCCAATATTGTTTCTTTCTTATTTAAACAGATAACATTTTTATCATAAAATTTTAAATTATATTTTTACTTCTTGCTATTAGAATTGTCTATTAATATTTACAAAAGGTTTAGAATAGATTTTATACAATATTTATTTTTATTATGCACATAATTATTAAATCAATGTCTGCTTGAGAATTCTATGACATCCTTTGGAGTCATATCATTTTTAGGACTTAAATTATTCTCCCACTTTAGGTTCAAGATAAGAACAATTGCTAGTCTGATATGCTTTCAAGGATTCATATGATTTTTTTTTGCTTTTGTTCTAGACATCTATTTTCACCCCAGCCTTTGGATCAGAAACTAAAGTCAGAATAAATAGTAACATGAGAACAGAAGAAGTAATAAAACAACTTCTCCAAAAGTTTAAGGTAATCTTTATCACTAAATTGAGCTAAAAGTATCTTGACTGTCATGTAACTGAGACACAGAAATGCACTCTTCTGAGGAAGACCTGTGGACATGTAAATCAAAATCCTGTTCACCTCTAAGAGATCTTTCCTTCAGATCAACCACCCCCTGGGAAGTCACATGATTCCCCTCGGATCAATACTTAGTGTCTGAATACTAAATACTGAATAGTTAGTGTCTGAAAGTGAAAAGGACAAATGAGGACATTGGTGCAGAATTTGGGTCTGGTTGGCTTGGGGAACATCATACAGAAACAAATAATCACATTTGTTCATATTTTGCATTGACAGATTGAGAATAGCCCTCAGGATTTTGCTCTTTACATTATTTTTGCAACCGGAGGTAAGAAAATGTGATCAGTCTTTGTACCTGGCTCCAGTGTATTACAGCTTTCTGCCCACAAACAAGGGAGAAGAGCAAGTCAAAAAAAAAGGAAAGAAAAGAAAAAGAATAAGGAAAAAGGAGGGAGGAAAATGATTGTTTATTATTATTGTTGCTGTTTGCTGATTGTTTTGGTGCTGGGAATCTGGGTTTGTTGTTGTTTACTGTTTGTCTGTTGCAGACTTTTGGAGCAGGGACTCAAGCAAGCTAAACACACACTTTACCACTGAGCTATACTTCTAGCCTGGAGAAATGGATCTAGACTATAATACATATTCAGCAATTTCAGAGAAAGATAATCTAAGAATAAAATATCTTCAAAGAGTTTATAATACAAAAGTGTTTGCTTGTTTGCCAGACAGGAAGTTGTCTGCATGGAGATCAGAGCCCTTAGGAATCCAGGGAGGGTTCTCCAGGAGCGCTTGGGCACTGTGTCTGTTCACTGCACTTCCTTTCTGCCTTTCCCTCCTTGCTCTGGCTCTTAGGGTCATCGTGTGGCTGCATGCAACTTCTCTCTGACTTGTTAATTTGCCTTTTCTTACTCCTCACTGGGTCTGACCCACTGGGAATATGATTCTCTCTCTCTCTCTCTCTCTCTCTCTCTCTCTCTCTCGTCTCTCTCCATATAGACTGTGTTCTGAATTTGGTGGGGTGGTCCAGGAATATATGTTTTCAATAATAATTCCAGATGGTCATAAAGCAAGATCATAAAGCAAGAAGCAGGCTTTGGAATGTCAACAATGGAACAAACTGAGGAGACGAAACCAAGTTAGCATTAGACTTAAAGGTCAAAAGAGGATTTTGCTGGGCTAAGGAGAAGAACAAAACTGTGAATGTTCCCTGTCGCTTCAGAAATGGCAGAGGAATTAAATCAGTGAACACTGAATTGGAATTGAAGCAGAAATAAATCTAATCCAGGGATGAGAACAGATTTGGCTGTTCTGAGGAAGGAAGTGAGGCAAGAGGAGAGAGAAAAGATAAATGTACAGATCGTGTGGGCTTTCTCTTTATTCTTCACTTCCATAAAATGAAACCCCAGATGTGAAACTATTTTGACAAAAAGCCAGGAGTACTTTTGTGTTGGGGATATTCATTGTAGGAATTATTTCTTTTATCTTTTAAAAACTTGAAGTTCTGGGAATATACCAAATTTTCTTTATCATGTTTTCATGACTGAATGTGTGAGACCCTCAGATAAATGAAAAGGACTATTTTCACAAACTTCTACATGGATATTCCAATTCTTGGGGTAACCAGGAATTGAGTGCAAAGGGAGAGGCGTTAAGGATAATTACAAGGTTTGGACCTCAAGAACAATAAAAATGGACTATATTAAATGAAGTTGGAAATAAATATTTGTTGAATGAATAAATTAGTAAAAATTACAAAGAATTAAGGTATGTTGCTTACTAGGTAGGACTAGAGAATTTTCTAAACAGTCTAACCAAAAATAAAATTGAATTTTTAGAACTATTAAGCAAACCATATGTTAAGAAAAAAGAAGTTCACTTGCAGTTTATGTAAAAAAAAAAAATTTTTTTTTTTTGGTCTTTTTGAGACAGGGTCTCCCTGTAGCCCCAGCTGACCTGGAACTCACTATGTAGACCAGGCTGGCCTTGAACTCACAGAGATCCACCTGCCTCTGCCTCCCGAGTGCTGGGATTAAAGGCGTGTACACACCTGGCTATGTAAAATTTTTAATTTCAATTTAAAGTAATTCCCCCCTTATCTGCAGTTTCACTCTTGATGGTTTCAGATGCCCAGGGTCAATCATAGTTCAAAAATATTTAATAGACTTCTGCAGAAATGAACAACTCATAGGTTTTAAATTGTGTACCATTCTGAGTAGAGTGAACTCTCGTGCATCTTTCCTTGCTCCTCCCTGGATGTGAATCATCCCTTTGTCCTCCATATCCACAATGGGGACCCTATTCTCCACTAGTCCCTTAGTACCCTCTTAGTTATCAAATAACACTTTTTTTTTTTTAAGTAATGGCCTCAAAGTACTAAAAGCAGTGATGCCGACATTTTTATTAGAATGTGTTGTGATAGCTGGTCTATTTTATTATTTGTAATGTTACTCTCTGTGACTAATTTATAAATTAAACTTTATCATAGGTATGTATGTATAGGAAAAACATACATACATATAGGTATAGGATTCAATACCATCTGCAGTTTGACGTGTCCCCTGAGGTCTTAGAACAGATTCCCCCATGGGTAAGGGGACACTATTCCACTTTTTTTCTTTTCTTTTTGAATGAGTTATTTCCGGGCCCTATTATTTCCAAAACTAGCAAAAGAAAGACAAAAACTGACAAATCCATCTCCTTTTTTCTCTTCCCAGTATTAATTCCTTTGTGTGGTTGATTCTTTTTTATTTGCAGAACAGAGAAGACTACAGAGAACAGATATTCCACTACTGCAGAGACTCATACAAGGACCATCCAAAAACAATGCTCGAATTTTCCTCATGGATAAAGATGAAGAAGAAATTAGCAGTAATGTATGAGCACCGTCACCCTCCGTTTCTGCACCTTCCCTTCTGCCTCAGCACTCCTTATGTAATACGCTCTGTTTTCTTTTTTGTTTTTTTCTTTCTTAGGTGGCTCAATACATTAACTTTCACTTTTCTCTCTTGGAATCCATTCTTCAAAGATTAAATGAAGAAGAGAAAAGAGAGATTGAAAGAATAGCAGCAAAGTCAGTCAAGAGCATGCACCTGGGTATTTGATCTTTATTGGATCCCATGTGCTACAGGTATCCCGTTTTTAACACTCTTCCTCTCCCGTTTCAGATTCAGTGCTGAAAGGACCCTTATACTGAAATGTCTTCAAAGTAAACAAGTGATGAAAACAGAGACAGAAGTTTAGCAGCAAAGGCCTCTACTGCTAGCCCACCTCAGCATTCAAATATATATGACCCCAAAGCTATAGAAAATTGAATGCCAATCAGCTTGTTTCTCTTTGAAATGATGAGGTTAACGCCACTTCAGACTTGGACTAAAACAGGATTAAACTTAGTTTCAGTAACTGAAAGAAGCTCGGATACTGTGTATTCCAAATATCTTTTACAGTGAATCAAGTAATGAACTCAGATTTCAGTGGCCTCTTCTCATATCATACAGTTTAGAGTTCTTTAAGCTTGCACTCTCAAGAGAACTGCACCATCAACTGACTCAGAGATGATGGGAATTAAAAACTTCCGGCTCTGGCCATCGACAAGCACATTCTTACACCACCATGGATCTGAGTGTGGCTGTGTTTCACAGCTCTGCAAATACTCTGGCATCCTCATACAATTTAAAAACATATTTATATAATTGATGGTTTTTAACTGTAATACCAGAGCTTTTTGTCCATTGGGAATAAAAAGATTTTGGACTCTACATATAAAGAAATCTAAATTTTAATTTTTTCAATCTAGACCCTCCATTTGCTTCTCTCTCTCTCTCTCTCTCTTTCTCTCTCTCTCTCTCTTCAACTGATGACTTCCAGTTTCTAAGCTTTTAAAAATTAGTTGTATTCATGTTCTTTCTTTTTGAAAACAAACGTGATATGGGGTAGGTCAAACAAGACTTGACCACAAATATGTAGTTGCTGCTGAGTGGTTACAATGGATGCAGCAAAGTTGCTGTAGCTCACCCAGGGTATTGCAGTATTCTTGTGGGATAGTCTGGAGACTCTCAAGGTGTGTACAGATCTGCTAAGCCCACTTGAAAAGAAATACTATGTGATTTTATTTATGAATTCTGTATTAAAATTGAATTTTATACCATGATCTATTTCCTAAACTACTTCCATTTGCATTTTTTATCTTAAATCAATCAAATTACCTGTGCTAACAAGTAAGGTTGCATTATTAACATTAAAATGTGAAGAATTTTAATAAAAAGCTATTTTCAGTATCACCAAAATCTGAACTGGGTAGCACTTTAAGTATACTGTGGCCATGGAAACAGCCAAGGAAATCTCCCTTTCTGAGTGAAACAAAGGCTTACATTTCTAATTCTTTACCTATTGATTAATAAGAATGTTTTCCTCTCATTAAAAAATTGCAAAAAGATTATTATATATTGCAAATCTAGCCAGGCATGGTGGCACATTCCTGTAATCCTAGCAGTCAGGAGGCCAAGGCAGGAAGATTTCTACAAATTCAAGGCCAGATCAGACTACACAGCCAGTTCCAGGCCAACATGTGCTGCAGAGTAAGGCCCTGTCTCAAAAATAAAAAAAGCAAAACATATGTATATATGCAAGATATGTATTTATGAAGTTTACAAAATGCATATAAAATTCACCATGCCTTGCATGGAAAAAGAAAAGAAGACAGTAGACATATGGAAAGAAAAATCACAGAAGAGAAAATGCAAATAGCTATTAACTATGAAAAATGTGTTTCAGCTGTGATCACCTGTGTCCATCAATGTGTAATCAGTACTGAGAAATCACACAGGAACTTAAGCAGGGGGAGTTTAGCATAAAGACTTTATTAAGCTATGATAGGACAGACAGTAACAATAAAGATGGAAAGAGAACTCGAAGGGGAACCCCAAGACTGAGGGAGAGAACCTAGAAACAAAAATTCGAATGGAGAATTCTGCATTCCCTGGGGAAGGTGCAGATCCAGTCCACTAGATAGATAGTCTATGGGCCACGCAGGCCAGACCTGGGCTGCACCTGTCCAGCAATTTGTGGAGTGTGGACCAGCCAGGGTTAGTGAGCAGAGGGACTCGGCACTCATAAAGACAGACTTAAGGCTGGTGCTGTAGGTGCTACTGAACCGAGAGTTGGAGTGGTCTTTTTTCCTACGGATCTATTATAAATCTATGATATGGATGGGGTCATAGGTCAGGCAAGAGGCTCATTAGATAGCCAGCCCCACGCAGCCCTTGAGTGTGCACAAATGTGAAGGGAAAATTGTAGACAGCGACTTGGGCTAAAGATTCGGCCTGCCCTGAGCTCCGGGTTATGCCATCATTACCTGAGCCAAAAACCGGAGAAGCAGGTCGGGGAAGAAACGCTGGGTAGAGCTACACCTCACCATGCACTAGCACTGGAGAAACCCCTGGATGCAGTCATGAAGGAAAAGTCCAGTGTCCAGGATACTGGCCTGTTAGCATACGGAAGACCTCTTCCCCTGCACTGTCTGCTGGCAAACTCTGGCATCGCGCAAGTGCATGCTGCAAAGGTAGTTAAAAAGGCCTACCTCTCATTTTTACAGCGCTGGTCACAAACTGAATTTGGGCTGAGAAAATAGTAACTATCATATCAGTAAAACAAAAACTCTGTTAGCAAAAATTAAACTACTATCGAAACATGATGATCTGGGCTCCAACAACTGATGGAAACACAAATGGAGATAATTTTTCTTGAAGCCAAGTTAGTATGAAAATTTACCCTTTAATTCTCTTTATAGGATTTTATCATATGGAAATTACCAGAGATACAAAGACTTCCTCAATATTTTTTGTGAAAAAATGAAGTAAAAAGACTATTTTTTTTTTGTTCAAAAATCGGCAAAAAAAAAAAAAAGATTAAAAAGGAAAAGAAAGACTTACTCAGAATGTTACTTTAGAATTATGTTTTAATTATAGGGCTAAATTCTTCTTATGTATCTAAGAATATATGTGTAAATATTACAAAATATTCATCCATGAGATTTATTTGTATATTTAGTTGTGCACACTACTATTTGTATATATACTCACAAACCAAAAATGGGTAATGTACAGATAGTAGAATGACATGATTCTTGTTTCTCTAATCTTTCTATATTTATTATATAGTCTATATATTGTTCAATGAGCATATTACTTTTTAAATCAAGAAAGAGAAAAATGTATCATGTAAAAGTTATCAAAAAAGCCTGGTATGGTGGTGCACCATACCAGCACCAAACCCAGTGCTCAGTTGTGGAACTCTACACATAGGATGAATGCATCTCTCAACTCTCACCAGAAAAGTTGCCTTAGGCAGAAGATGGTGACTAACAGAAACTCACAACTGGCCAGTTTGCAGAGAACCAGAGGCTGCAGACTGCTTATCTCCAGATAGGACACCTATTTCAAACCTCTGCTTCCCAAGGCTCAGGGATCATTGTGGAAGAGGGGGCAAAAAGGTCATAAGAGCCAAAGGTAGTGGATGACCACAAGGAAACAGTTTTCCACACAGCTGGTCGGTTACTCATATGAACTCACAGCAACGATGACAGCAGGCACAAGTCCTACGGAAGCTCAAACCAGACAAAATCCCAGCATAGACATGGGGAAGTGGATAAGGAATTCCAATCTAAGGGACTTTTAGCAACTGATGGCTGCTGGGAGGAGAGACAGTTTACCGGGATGGAACTCTTGGTAGGTTGACCAGGTCCTAGTGGATGGACTTACAGTAAGGACGACAAATCAGACTCTATAGGTCATATTTGCACATATAGTGGAGTACATTGAATTGGGCCAGAGCAGTGGGGGGAGATGAGGATGGGGGAGGGGATCTAAGTACCATCAAATTATATTCTTTAAAAATTGCAAAAATTCAATAAAATTTTTTAAGTAAAAAGATTTTAAAAAGCACTCCGGAGGCAGAGACAGGCTAACCTCTGTGAATTTGAGGTCAGCCTGGCCTACATAAGTGCGTTCCAAACCAGCTGGGGCTACAGGAGACCCTGTCTTTAAAAAAAATAAACAACGGGTCTGTAGAGATGGGCCAGCAGTTAAGAGCACTGTCTACTCTTGCAGATGACTTCGGTTGAGTTCCCAGCACCCACATGGTGGCTAACAGCCATCTGTAACTCCAGTTCCAGCATATCTGACGCCCTCTTCTGGCTTTTGTGGCCTTTGCACAACATGGTTGTACTTATATACATGCAGGCAAAACACCCGTACACATAAAATAAAAACAATAAATATTAAAACAAACAAAAAGAAAAGCTACCGACAGTATAACGAGCACATTTAGGAACAAACAGAATCCTACTTAATGCAAAACATTTCTAATTATTCAATTGAGACTTTAAATAGATTAGATTTTTTA